CTTTAACACCTTCCACATTTGTATACATTTTCTCATTAAGATGGTGTTGCAGCAAACAAAAAATATGGTAATCTGATGGTGCCATATCTGGAGAATATGATGGGTGGAGGAGAACTTCCCAACCCAACTCCATAATCTTGTGTTGTGTCAGACGTGTCACATGTGGACGTGCATTGTTGTGAAGAAGAACAACACCTTTTTGACTGATGTGTGATGAGCGTTTCTGATGAAGGGCTTGATTTAAACATTCCAGTTGTTGACTGTAGATCTCTTCATCGACAGTTTGCTATAGATTAAGGAGTTCAAAATTAAATACTTCTTTGATGTCCCACCAAATGCAAAGCATCACTTTCTGCGGATAGAGTCCAGGTTTCGGAGTCAGAAGTGGTTTTTGTTTAGGACTGAGCCATTGTTTTTGGATTTGATATTCGCATAGAGAATCCATTTTTCATCACCAGTGACAATTCTGTCCAAAAATGGTTCATGAGCATTACACGCCAGAAGAGACGAAGCAACATTTACATGATGATCATCTGAGAGTTCGTGAGGCACCCAAACACCTTCTTTATGGAATTTTCTCATATTCCTTAGATGTCTACATATTGTTTCATGATAGACATGCAATTTCAGGGTCATTTCATGAGTGTGTTGCCTTGGGTTAGACTCAACAAGTGTCTTCAGAGCACCAATATCAATTCTAACATGTTGGCTGGCCCCTGCCATCACAGTTTCTAAGGCTAAAGTCACCTGAACGAAATTTGCTGAACCATCATTGACACTTAGGAACGTACAAAACATTTCTATAAACTTTTTTGTGGCTACAGAGGTGTTGTTTCCCTTCTTGTATTCAAACAGCATTACATGCTGAATGTGTATCTCGTCATGTGCCATCACTATAAGATTAGAGTATTCTAAACTTTACACTAATATGACATTTAGTTGGTTCGTTTAACTATTATACATGATGTAAATTTTTTGGGGAGTGGTTAATGAAAGTTTTCCAAAATGCAGTATTATTTCTTGAGGACCTAATACTTGAAAAACTTCTTCAGCTGTTATTATTTATATTTCATTTTGTTTATTTATCTTTGGTACATAGATATAACTTTGCCTTTGTGTTTTGTTATCTGTAGTTTTTGCTTTCATTGTTACCCTTGACATTATTATCATGTATTAGTTTTTCATCATTGTAACTCTTAGAACAGTTTGATTACCTTCTGATATAGTGTTTGCTTGAAACATTGTAGTAAAGTTATTTTTTTCAACCATTGTTTGAACACAATTTTTCAGCTTCAACGTTCTTATCTTACCCACTTTCACCAGAATGTATTATTAACATTCTTTCCTTTAACACTGTAAATTAGGCTAATTTGAGCATAATATACAAAATTCTGTTTAGTCAGATGAAAGAATGTAACTAGAATAGTATTAACATTATATAATATTGTTTACAAATCCATAATAATGGTAATTAGGAAATTAGGGGAGAAGAAATATACACAAATTCCTGGCAAGATCCTGGTAATAGTGTAAAATTATGTATATCAAATAAATAATAAGAAGCTGTATACTGAAATAAAAACATTCAACATCAACTGTTGGGTAACTAACATTACACTACAATTACATTCAGTACATTTATAAGCCTTTAGCTTTAATTGTTTAGTAGTCATATTGGCAAAGGTAGCTCTTCACATAAATGAAGGGTAACATATATTTAAATCATCATTCCTGTGAAAATATAAGTATCCACTTGTCATTAAAACATTTATTTGTGACAGATTTTTCCAACTCTTTTAGTGTTATATAGTCAAAAATCATTATTTATTAATTATGTATATGTGTATCATGCACTGTTGATGAAAGTAACATGAGGGGATGATGAATAATTATCTTAGGATTACATCCTGCCTTTTAAGTTTCATAGCCTGCTGGCTTAAAACTGTGTTTATTATATGTCTGTCTGTCTTTCTACTTCCCTATAGAGACATAAGCATGTATTCATATTTAGACATTAAAATGTTTCTACTTCTCACTGTGAATGAAAAACAAGAAAAATGAGAAACAAAATGTTCTAAAAAGTAAATAGCTCAGTTTTTTGCTTCTTTAAAAATTTACTTGATAGACTTGATAAAAGTAATTATTTGTTAATATATTATTTCAAGTTAAATAGTGTTTGGTTGTTTGGGTCTTTTTTAACTTAAAATGGTAATTTTCCATTTTTTTAGTGTATGTAAATGCTAGGGCTGATATGATACGATAGTAGTCAATATGATACGTATCTAGATACAGAAGTTTTACTAACGGTTTTTACATAGTTTGACAGTCTTGACAATAAAATCTAATTAGAAACAGGTGTATAATGTTAAGAGCATTAAGTTATTTAGTGTAAGCAAATGTAGTTTCCTGCTACAATTTTAAGTAATTCTAGAAAGAACAAAAAGGATAATTTGATTTATTTTTGTATATTTTATAGTGGTTACGAGAGTAGTCAAACTGACTGATTTCACATGAAATTGGGGTAGTGAATATAGCAGGTGAAATATGTATACTTATCGAAAAAAAAGTTGGAAATTTATTTTGGAGATGTTAGAGATTACACAAAAGATATTTGTTAATTTTTAGACGGAGAAAATTATTATTAATCTCAACATGAAAATCACGTTACACTCAGAGCAGTGACTACTTTGACTCCATATATTAAAACATTAATTTTTGCAAAAATAACTAATTCGAAACTTTGATTTTTTTTCTGTCTAAAAGACTTGTAATGTTTACTGAAAGCTCGCCAACTTTCATGAAGATACATAAATTGTATCTAATCGGACGATGCATAGATTCAATTGTACCACAGTTTCATGATACATATTGTATTGCCACACCCCTAGTAAATGCTTATAAAAATATAAGACTTATTATGTGCATTATTTTTCATAGAACCTAGTTAACATTTTGAATATACTTTATTCTTCTTACAAATTGTTCTTAACATCTAATTGCAGGATAGTCAAAGTCATCCTTTGGGTTCAGTTGCCTCTGCCAGTGGTAATGTAGGATCAGCAAGCATTAGTAACTTCAACAGTAAGCTAACTTTTTCAGTTGTACCATCTTTTCCTTCTACCGCTAAGAGTAAATGGTGCTCTTTTCCCATAGTTCCCCCATTATGTCTCAACAAGCCCCCTGCATCACTCTCTCTGCCTTTCAAACTAGTGGATAATATCAGTGAAGAAACCGAGCTCAAAGTAAAAGATAAAGAAAGGTTGGCCATTAAAAATTTTCTAAACATCCTTTAAAGTTATAAATACTGTTATTACTTTTTTACATTTAAAGTAATTATCATTGTTTTTAGCTACTCTGTTTCTCATATTAATTTTGCTTATATTATCAACTAATCTGAATACAAAGCAAAATTTTTTGCATTTTATTAAATTTCTTTTCACTAAAAATTGCTTTTATTAAATAATAGTATCACAAATTTAGATTGTATTACCCAGAGCACACACAAAAATCATTGATCATCAATATTAAAAAAAAAAAAAATCAACACAGATATTATACAAACTTCTCTTTGATTGCTTTTTTTTTTTTCAAGAAATAGAATAATAAGGTTATTTGTATATTAAAATTAACATCCAACAAATAAAAATTAACCAAAACTGTATTTGGAGCCAATTGAGGTAAATAAATGTCTGGAAAAAATTTAAGTTGAAAATTTGGAGGTGAAAGAGATTTTCTTGTCATTTACCAATAGAGCTAAATTCTTATTTTTTTAAAAATATGTGGGGTCAATTCCAAAATATGAAATATGATTGTAAAGACACATTTGACATTGAATAATGATTTCAATTTATGCTTTTGTCTATTTTGTTGTTTTATAAAATCCAAAAACATTTGTTATATACACAGCGTGGTCACAAGTAAATAAACACCACCTTTTCAGAAAAAATGAAATTTTTCAGTCATATTCACATGAATT